CACACACACACACACACACACACACACACACGTGCCCAGTGTGAGTTTAAGCCACCAGGTCTGGGACTCGAACCACAGTCAACTACATGGGAGTCCAGTGACATAGCCATTACACCAACTGCTGGTCCCAATGTTCTCAGTTCCAATAAACTAAAGTATGTACAAAACACAGGCACAGGGAAAATTATTTCTCAAACTGCCAGCTATCTACATTTCTTCTCACTCCCTGCATGTTTAAAAATAATTATTGCCAGGAGTCTGTGTAACTAGAGGTAGCCCTGATTATAATTGTTTTATCTCCAAGACTGAAATCAAAGTATATTGAGGTAGAACTTCTGCAAACATTTGTTTTGCTGATATTTTGTTCATAAAGAATTTATGTGAGACCATTTTAGATGACACTTCTCTTATTTCTGTAATCCCACTGGTGGACATTGAAGTGTGCAAACTATTTTATATATTTTGTATCTTATATCTTTTATTTCTTTAACTTTTCTATAGCAAGTTTAACAAAGGTTTATTTTTTATAATGGTCATTCCGTTTGGAACACAATATATTTTTAATAACTCTAGGAAGAATAAAATTAAAATATAAAATATAGTTTATGTAATTTTTTTACAGTTTTGCTATTTTCTTTTTAGAGAGGTTTCTTGTTTGTTTGTTTATTTGTTTTTGTTTTTTTTTGTTTTTTTTTTTTGCTAGAGGGTGTATGTGCTAACCGAAGAGATAGAGAGAGGCAGAGACAGAAAGCAAGAAATCACCCCTCAGGGGGGAATGGCCATGCTGCAACCCCTTGTTCTCTATTCTCCTCCCAAGACCTTGGATATGCATGCATAGGTTCCCAGCATGAATTTTAAGCTGCTGAGTCCAGGAGTGAAATTGCTGTCAACTACGTGGGAGTCCAGCAACATAACCATCACACTATCTACTGATCCCTGTAATTCTTACTCATGTTTTATCCACTCTTACTCAATTTAATAAGCATATGTACTTCTTTAGCTTAGCCATCACTTGAACTCTAGGCTTAGGTTTGAAGTCAAAGGTTAAATACTCTTAATGATTAGCAAAGTAGCTCTTGATAATTTAAGATGAGAGATGAGGCTGAGAATTGGGAGATGGCTTGTTGCATGAACTAATGTGTCTGAAGTCAGCCTTATTAAATAGCTACTTATTATCTGAAAACAAACAAACAAACAAAAAAGACAAAATCACTGGATAAGCAAAAATTGTTCATTTTATTTAGTTTAATATCTCTTAGTATTTATAAGCTGAGAACAATTTCACTAAAAATACTCATTTACTTTTGTTATTACCAGAGACAATAGCATTTAGTAATCATGAAATCTTACACTTGCTTGCATATAATTTTAACTTCTTCTTTACTTGAGTGTCTTTGCGGTAGATGGGCAAGTACAGTTATCTGTATTTGTGGGGGGGAAAAAAAACACCTATGGTAGTAGATAATAGTTTTTAGAGATCTCTGACAATCATAGATATGAATGGCTTTACTAAACATACATTTCTGGGCTCCTTCTGGTCCAATATCCAGTGAAAAGCCAGAATCCACGTGCATCTGAGGTGGGACTAGCCCTGCCCCTTTAACCAGAAAAAAACTCTGCCCCAAATCCCTCCTTCTGGCCCAATATCCAGCAGAAAGCCAGAATTAACTCCAAGAAGGTAGGAAGTAACATATAATCCATCAGATGACCAGAAACCACCAGCACATAGCCACAAGAAATATGGGAAATCAAGAAAATGTCTTTCCCCCAAGGGGAAAGAACAGTCCTTCATCATCCACAGATAGTACAAAGGAATTCCTGGAAATGTCAGACAAAGATTTTAGGGTATTCATAGTGACAAAGCTAACAGAGATGCAAGAGAAGAGAGACAATGAACTCTAGAAAATGCAGGAGTAAAGAGATGAGTTCCAGGATGTGAGGAAATTCTTTCATGACCTGAAAGAGAAAATAGACACCATAAAAGAGAATCAAATGGAACTGTTAGAGTCGAAGGCTGTAATACAGGAAATCAAAACCTCCCTTGAAAGTATTAAAAGCAGATTAGATCATCCAGAAGATGGAATATCAAAAGCAGAAGACAGAACCTCTGACCTAGAAAAATTCACCAAAAAGACTGAAAAAAAAAAATAATGCAACAAAATGAGAATAATATATAAGTAATACTAGATACCATTAGATGCCCAAGCATCCAGATAACTGGTATCCTGGAAGGTGAAGAAACTAATCAGGGCATTGATAATTTATTCAATGAAATCTTGGAAGAAAATTCTCCAAACCTGGAGAGGCATTCAAATATCCAGACCCAAGAAATACAAAGGACCCCACATAGAATCAACCCAAGAAGATCTTCTCCAAGGCCCATAGTTGACCAAAACCACAGATGGAGATAAGATACTAAGTGGCAAGAGAAAAACATGAAGTTACTTTCAAAGGATATCCCATTAGATTAACATTGGATCTCTTGTCAGAATCAATGCAAGCAAGGAAATAATGGGAAAAGATATTTAAAGCATTAAGTGAAAAGCAATTTCAACCAAAAATACTGTATCTGGCAGGATTATACTTCATGTGGGAAGAAAAGAAAAAAACATTCTGAGATAAACAAAACCTGAAAAAATTTACCAACACCAGACCAGCTCTTTGAGCAGTTCTGAAGGGAGTATTAAACAAGGAAAACTAAAGACAGACAAATAAGAGAACAAAAAAATGACCAAGAGAAAGGCCAGCTTAGTGGTAGGGACATGTTCTGAAATAGCAATAATAATGTTGAATGTTAACGGAAAGATCAGACCACAGGAACACTGCAAATTCAACCAAAGAGAGAGTACATTAGAATGAACTGGTGAAATAGAATTATATGACTTATTTCTAAAATGTTATTGATTTTCTTCTGTGCTTTGTCTTCCAGATGTAAGGATTTTTGTTTTCTTTTGAGTTGTTGGGTTCAGCAATTTGTTAAAGAAAAAGATTTTTTTAAAATTGAAACATAAACTTTTCTCCCATCATGACCACTTTGCAATTAGACAATATTTGTGAGTATTCTTATTTTGTGGCAGAATGATTATTTGCATAAGTTCAATAATACAATAGTATCTGTTGCCTTGCATCAGAAATTGTACGAGGTTTTGTGCAAATAACAGACCAACTTGATACTAACTTAATTTTTTTTCTCAAATAAGTTAGTTTAGACCTCTCTTTAGTAAAATGAGGAATAGAGAGAGAGGAAAAATAAATTGTTTCAGAAGAAAATTATAGTGCACTTGTTACTAGATTCTAGCTTGTCCATACTTTAAGATCTTTTGTGAATCAATAAAATGTGAAAAAAAAGTTTAGTGTGGAAGGGAGGGAGGGGGAAGAGGAAGGAAAAAACTGGTAAAAGAATGCTTAATTGACAAAAAATAAGAAGCTATTTGCTGGTGATAATGTATATAGTAATATCCTTGTCTTGACTGACATGCATGGTATTTATATTGGAAAAAGAAATGTGTACTTATAAAATGTAAATTAAAATAAATGATTTTAAAAAAATGAAACACTTCTGGAATAAATAAAACATGAAACTGAAGAGTACAGACCACACAAAGTAATGACAAATACTTGAGATGATGGTTTACTAATCACCTGCCTTCACTATATATTACATTCTTATACTAAAAAAACCACACTGTACCTCACAAATATGCACTATTATGTGCTAATGAAAAATAAATTAGAAAAATAAAGAGTATAGACCTTCACACTACACTAACATAAAACTCAATAAGGCAAACAGACTTACCTTTAACCAAGAGTTTTTCCTCATTTTCAAGCGTCCCATCCACATGTCCGTCAGCAGCATTTGGGTACAAGTATGTGAAACAAAGGGTCTCAATCCTCCAGACACAGCCAGCTTCAGACAGGTTGAATTACTCCAGTTCTTGAGTTTATATGTCAACAATTTCATGGCCATTCTCTCATTCTGCTTGAATGCGTTCTCTAGCACATCCAGGGCAAGCTGACCAAACTCTCTGTTACGACACAGCAATGAATGGAGAACACAAAGGCAGATGAGAGCCCCAGAAACATTCTGAAAGGATGAACAAGAGATTCAGGGAAGACCAATTAAAAACTAGACTTTATTTTTAAAGAGAGAGAACAGTAACTTAACAATCTCAATTTGCAGAAGCTGGGCCAGCTGGTGGCATAGTGATTAAGGCAGCTAGATCCTACATGGCAAACTTTGTGGATCAAGTTCCAGACCTGGTGGCTTGAAAAATATGCCAGGCATGTGTGCATGTGTGTGCAAAATCCCAAGAGGAGAGAAGTAGGAGAATGGATTGCTGCATGGTCATCCCTACTGGGGACTGATTGCTCACTTTCTTTCTATCTCTCCAGTGATCACATGTGTCCTATAGCAAAAACTAACATAAATAAATAGAAATAATCATTTTGAATTTTTTTTAAATTTGCAGAAGCTATTTTAAAGGGATCACTACTCAGAAAAGAGATTGTTTCTCTTTCCTAAAGAGATAAACTGGAGGATTGATACTACAGCATAAAGAATTTGGTTTACATCTGAGTTATTCATGAGGAAAAGTAATTCCATACTGTGCAACAAGTTATATAGAGCTTTGTTTGGGACTCCCTGTGCCACAAAACCTATTAAATATATTTATTAATAGCCAGAGGGTGTGTGTGCTCACCAAAGAAAAAGAGAAAGAGAGGGAGGGAGAGAGAGAGAAAGAAAAAAAAATAGTCCCTAATGAAGCATGGTCATCCTTTTTACCTCCATTTCTCCATCCCTTGAAGACTTTATGCACACATATAAACATGCCTGGCATGTTTTTCAAGTCACCAAAGGTGGGATTCAAACCACAGTTGGCCATGTGGGATCTGCCCACTTTAACCACTATGCTATAAAGCCAGCCCCAAAATACTTTTTTTAACAGAAAAGAGTGTTCAAAATTAAATTAGCAACTAAGGAAATTTGTGGTACACCTCCTTTTTTGTTGTTAAGATTTTACAAAATACATAGATGATTTAAGTAAGAAACCTGGACCGATGACACCCTCAGGTGATTTTCCAGAAGGTTGTTTACTCTGAAAAGCAGATGCTCTCATTTGCCAGAATTTTTTAAAGCAAAATTATAAATTGGTGTGGTGACTAAGGCACTGGACTCCCACATGGCTGACTACAGTTCCAGCCCTGAATCTGCAGGCTTGAAAAATCACTCCATGTGCATATGCGTATGTGCCCCAAATCCCTAGAGGAGAATGAAGGAGAACAGATTGAGGCAAGGCCATCCCTGCTAGGGATGGTGATTTCCCCTTTCTCTATCTGTCTCTCCAGTGAATGCACATGTCTTATGGCAAAAACCTAAAAAAAAATTATAAATTGATTTCCATTAACTATAGCTTCCCTTCTTTACTCACAATAACATTTCAATAATGACAAAAACAAAAGCATTTCTTACTTTTCTGTCTTGTACCATTCCTCTTTAGTCCTTTAATACAACGAATTTGTTTACCAATCTGATAATTACATAAAATAAACAACACACCTAACTAACATCCCAGAGTTTGAGAGTTGGGAGAGACATGCAAATCATTAACTGAATGCTTTATAGTTAGGAAACTAAAGCCCCAAAATCTAGTTACTGACTTACTCAAATAGCAAATGGCTGGGCTGGACTCCTAAGAGTCCTAATTTGAAAGCCATCTCATTTTCCCATATTCCACAAAGCTTTTTAAAACACTTAAAGATCCTCGGGACCAGCATATAATGGTTACGTCACTATACTCCCACATAGTCAACTGCAGTTGGAGTCCTGGACCTGGTGGCTTAAACTCAAAACAGGTTCATGTGGGTGCATGCCCAAAATCGCAACAGGAGTATGGGGGAGAAGGGATAGCAGTATGGCCATCCCTCCTGGGTGTGATTTCTCACTTTCTGTCTCTCTGTCTCTCTGGCAACTGCATGATACCCTATAGCAAAAATCTCTCTGAAAAAAAAAAAGATACTTAAAGTCTCTATTTATAGAAGAGCCCATGGCAAAAAGTCTACCTGTCTTACAAGCTCTAAGATGAGGGAGTACAAGTGTCTGGCCAGTCTAAGAACTGTTGATGTTTAGTATGAAGTGAAGAAAGAACTCCTACTTTGAGTACTTTTTCAACTCTTCTGAGGCATCGTCCACCATGTTGCTCTCTTTGGCTTCACGGGCCATGGCTCGGTAGAGTATAGAGGCAATCACGGCCTTCGCAGTGGCCTCCTCTCCATGCTGCCAGAAGAACATAGCCATCTTCTGCCTTTTCATTAGCACAGCCCAAACCAGCAGGTCATTGTAAGGGTAAATGAAGCCAGTAGACTCAGGGTCATCGGACACATTTTTTCCTTCTTTTGACTTCTTCCTTGATTTATGAAGGACTACAGACTTTTCCTGTTGGAAAATAAAGTAGGAATGAGTTTTCACATACTCAAGACGCATGATGTTTTACCTAGTGCAGAATAATGGGTATCCTCAAGGGGTTTTGTTTTTGTTTTTAAGGTTTTTGCATAGGGCACATGCATTCACCAGGGAGAAACAGTGACAGGGAAAATGAGAAATCGCCCCTGAAGGGGGATGGTCACATAGCAATCCCTTCTTCTCCCTTCTTCTCTTGGGATTTTGGATACACACACACATGTGCCTGGCATAGTTTCAAGTCACCAGGTCTAGGACTAGAACAGTGGGTGACCAAGTGGGAGCCAGCACCTTAGCCACTACACCACCTGCTGGGCCCTCTTCCTGGTATTGTTAAAAATCACTACTATAAAAGGAGATGGAAATGATAATAGGACTTTACAAACCAGAAACAAAAATTTAGATTTTTTATAGTAATCTATGCCTTGTTACATTTCTATAAATTAATTCACGTAATACAACTTAAGTCAGTACCAACTTGGAACATACCCCAAACCCAGTAACTATAATAACTTTCACTTTCACTAGGAAATGGGTTGAAGTAATGTATTAAGTAAATGAAAATTGTAAATTAGCGAACAAACAAGGTCCCTCTAACTTCACCTCAGCGAATAGATTCATTATCTTCCCCTTAGAAAAACATCACTAGTGTTGCCAACATGCACCCAAATGGATTGGTTTTAAGTTTTCATTTTCCTTATTTTAATTCTATTTCTCTAGTAATAATAACAAGTAATGGTAACCAGCAGTTAGTGTAATGGCTATGTCGCTGGACTCCCACGTAGTCAACCGCGGTTCGCGTCCTGGACCCGGTGGCTTAAAACTCACGCCGGGCGCATGTGCGTGCGTGCCCAAGATCCCGAGAGGAGAATGGAAGAGAAGGGATTGGGGCGTGACCATCCCCCCTGGGGGGTGATTTCTCGCTTTCTGTCTCTAATGTCTCTCTCTGTCTGTCTGGCAAGCGCACACGCCCTATAGCGAAAATCTCTCTCTCAAAAAAAATAATAATAATAACAAGTAATAATGAAAAAAATAATCTCCATCTGGTAAACTCAGCCTTTGCAGTTCATCTCAGATGACAACTCCAATTCCCCATTCTCTTCTACATCACTTTGTCTATCTTTATTTCATTTTCATCATACTGTTTACGGATATTACTTTATGGAAGGTGGGACCATTTCTCAGTCATCATTATACCTTCCCACCCACCTCCCACACATTCAACCAGGCTCTCAGCATAACGCTTGGCAAATAATAAGGATTCAAAAGTTATTCTTTTTCATTTGAGGAGACAGAGCCAAAAAAAAAAAAAAAATAATCCATATTCTCTATTTCTTTAAATAAATGGAATTCATCTCTATTAATTACAACCAATATCACCAAAGGTGGTATTATAAAATGCCTTTTCATCCCAGGAGCTATAGAAGGCAACCCTTTTTCAGCCAGCATGGTAACCCTTTACATGGACACTCTGGAGCAAAAGCATTTATCCCCAGAGAAAAGCGGGTCTGAGGAAGTCCAGGCAAGGGGAATAACAGCATTGCATGCACATGCACAAGTGTGTGCACACACACAACATGCACACAAACACATTATTGTTGATAAGCTGTAATAGTAGGCCAAAATTAATTTAGAGAAAGCCTTAAATGAGGAAGAAGATACAAAACTGCAGGCAGAGAAAAGTGAAGGAGAAGCAAGCAGCCTTGCCATCCAGCTGCCCTTGTGCTGAGAAGGATAAGGGTGTGATGTTGGGGTGATGATTCCATTTATTTAGTGCCACCCCCTAGACTGCCCGCCTGGGTCACCACGTGGACACAGCAGGGAAGGAACGAGGAAGAGAGGCTGAAGTGCAAGCCCTGACAGTCCTCTGTCACCAGCGTCTTGGGCCTTGGTTCGCTGTGGCTGGAGGACGGCTGTGTTAGGCTTTTGACTTGCACCATCTGTTTATGGCACTTGTAAATAGGTCCTCTGTGGGTTCTTCCCTTCCTCCAACTTCAAACAAAGAAACAGTCTCTGTCTGCAAAGACGATTTCATTTTCGAATCTAAAAACGAGTATGTGCTACCTTGAATTTGTAAGGCTGGGCCGTTCTAATAAACTGGGAATGCAGCGTGCTTTCTGTAGACTCATTTCTACTTCCTGAGGAACGTCTCCAGTGACTGGGGTGCTGGGCGAGGCTGTCAGCAAAACTGGTCACTCTCTGGCATATGTTGTTATTTTGTTTTTAAAATAAAACAAACGAAAAATGATTATAGCAGTTGACCACTTTTTATTTCTAGACACTGATGAAAACTGAATATTATGTCATGTTCTTTTCCTAATGGTTGTCTCTGTCTCTCTTCCACGATTAGCAATTAATCTCCTTGAAGATTAATCACTCACCCCACAAGAATCTCTCATAATTTTTGTATTATGCACACTGCTATTTCCTAACACCTCAGAGAACATAGTCTTTTGTTCTCTGTTATGTATCTGCATTCCTTCTCTATGTGGAAATTCCACTAGAATCAGTGGATATTCTATACCTGGAACAAAGTCAGAATGGGCAATAAAAATTTATAGTTTTGATAGTTCCATTCATTCACAAATAGCTCCAGGATTATGGAATTTCTCCAAGTATCATATAATATCTCTACAGCAATTCCAGAGGCTAGGCCCAATAACAACATGAGTCATAGCTATTTTATCCCATCAATGGGAAACAACAAAAAAGAACATTCTTAAAGGGACTTAAATAAAATATATGATAGAAACCTTATATAGAAACCAGCTTTGAACTGCTTTATTTTTAGTTTGTGTGTTATGGATAAAAATTGGACATCCAAACAATAAGGTCAGGATGTTTTTTAAAGGTAGTATCCAAATTATTATTATTATTTCTATATAGAATTAAATGTATCATTATAATAATAATCATAATGACTATTATTAGAAACAATTATTTTATAACCTCTATGTACCAGGAATATATATTTTTCAGGTATTATCTTATTCAACCCTTCTAAGAAATTTATTAAAGGAAATAAATAGAAAAGGATATTGATACCCTCATTTTATAGATAAGGAAACTGGTACATAGAGAGGTTGAGTGTGTTACTCAAGTTTACAGAGCAACTAATGAGCAAAACTAGGATGCAACCCCAGATCCCCCTGATACCAAACCCAGTACTGGTAACTGTTATGGTCTAGTTTATTAAGAAATTACAATAAACTCTGTTCTCCTTGACTGAAAAAACAATCAGATTGTTGGATATTTTATTCCAGAGGGCCATTTCTAGAAAGAACACCAGGGGAACAGCTCCAACAAGCTCTGCCCTGGCATCACCGCCACTAAAAGTAGTCCTCCTGTCTGACACAGCAATGTATTGAGTAGTTGGGAAAGTCATGATGCATTTTTGCATAGAAAAACACATCATGACTCTCCCGACGACCTAATATGTTTTCTTTCACTGAAGTAGCAAATACCTCCTTAAGCATATCCCTTTGCCTCTGAAATATTAATAAAGACTATTTGCTGTGTGAGATTTGGGTTTCCCTTTGGTTTTCTTTTTTGTTGTTGTTACTTTTGTTTTTCATTCCTAAGGACAAGCTGGGTTCTTACTTTACCTGTTTAATAAAGATCCAAGGCAGTTCGATATCCTAAGTTTTCTGTGTGATCTTACCCCAAACTACCTATCCAGTCTCATCCTTCACAATCTTCTGGCACTTGTTCTCCAGGGACAAAGGTCTTCTTGTTGCTACAAAAGCATGCCCTAACGTCCCAGTACTGTGCACCTCACTTCTGCTCTTTTCTCAACAAAAATGCCCCAAATGACTTTTGCTAATGTCACCTAACCCTGGTATCTTGAGTTTGGCATCTGTAGATTCAACCAACCAAGGATGGACAATGTCCTGCGTTGCCGTGTATTCTCTGTGGTTGGGCCTATGATGGTTGCGTCTGTACTGAACTTGCACAGACTGTCTCCTTGTCGTTATTCCCTACAACACAGTATAACAACTATTCACATAGCACCTACCTTGTTTTAGGTCTCATAAATAATCCAGAGATGATTTAAAGTATATAGAAGGATGTATGTAGGTTATACACAAATATCAGGCTGTTTTCTATAAGAAACTAGAGCATCTGAGGGTTTTGATATCCCATGGAGTCCCAGAACAAAACTCTCATAGATACTGAGGGTATCCTGTTAGTCTCCTCAGGTTACTAATCTGTGATGGCAATTTTAAGAAACAAGCAATGATGGAACCAGCAGATGGCATAGTAGTTACATTGCTGGACTCTCATGTAGTCGACTGCTGTTCAAGTCCTGGACCCAAAGGCTTGAAGCTCACACCAAGCATGTGTGCATGTGTCCCCAAACTCCTCAGAGGAGAAAGGAGGACAAAGAATTACACAAGGACATCCCCCTGGCAGGTGATTTCTCACTTGCTGTCTTTCTGTCAAGCTCACATGCCCAATGGCAAAAATCTCTCCAGTGCTCACTTCGGCAGCACATATACTAAAATTGGAATTATATAGAGAAGATTAGCATGGTCACTGCACACAGATGACAAGCAAATTCGTGAAACATTCAATATTTTTGAGACTGAACTGGTGAAATAGAATCTTAAGACTTTTTACTAAAACATTGCTCATTTTCTTCTATGCTTTGTTTTCCAGATTTAAGGATTTTTGTTTTCTTTGAACTGTTGATAGGTTCAACGATTCATTTAAACATTTTTTTTTTAATTGAAACCAGAAACTTTTCTCTCTTCCTGACTCCTCTGGAATTGGAAAATATTTGTGAGCATTCTTATTTTGTAGCAGCATAGTTATTTGCATAAGTTTAATAATATCTATTGCCTTGCTTCAGAAATTCAAAATACTGATTACTATCTGGGTTTTAACTGGAATGCATATCTGAAGATATGACCCCAAAGCTAAGGAACTAAGGTTGATCTCAAGAAAGCCAAGAGAAGCTCTTGGAAATATTGCCTAGTACATTAACAATTCTGCCTGGCAGGTAAGTAAAGAATGTCACTTACTGAAAGGCCCAAAAAACGTCCAAGTATAGGTACTTAAAGGCACAGTCAGATGGTGAATTTCCGATTTGGCTCAGTAGCCTCAGAAGGCTTTTTAAAGAGTCTAATCTCGGGACCAGCAGTTAGCATAATGGCTATGTCACTGGACTCCCATGTAGCCGACTGCAGTCCAAGTCTTGGACCCGGTGACTTAAAACTCATGCCGGGCGCGTGTGCATGTGTGCCCAAGATCTCGAGAGGAGAACGGAGGAGAAGGGATTGCAGCGTGGCCATCCCCCTGGGGGGGGGTGATTTCTCACTTTCTGTCTCTCTGTCTCTGTCTGTCTGTCTGGCGAGCACACACGCCCTATAGCAAAAACCTCTCCAAAAAAAAAAAAAAAAGAGTCTAATCTCAAAGTCCTTATAAAAGGTTCTAGCAAAGCAAGCTAAATCAATTACAATTCTTATGGGGCTCTGTGCAAAAAAAACAGACCAACTTGAGACTAAACTTATTATTTTGCAAATAAATTTGTTTATGTCTCTCTTTGGTAAAATGAGGAATGCAGGAAAAAAAATGTTCCAGAAGAAACTCACAGTGTACTCGTTACCATATTTTAGCTCTGTACATATCCATTTTTTGAGTTTTTAGTATCTACCAACTGTTTGAACAGAATCCTAACCTATTTCCTACCTTTAAGTCTTAAGCAATTTTTTCTTAACATTTTTTATTTTGATTTATTAAAGCTAAAACTACTTTTCTTGAAATAAAAAAATACATTTAATAAAACCCTGCTTAATGACCACAGTAAGCTATACAGCCTCAGCTAGGAGCTACTTTATACTACATTCAGTCTATTCGCTGAGTTTTATGCCTAAAGTCAGACATGTGTTCACAGATATGTTTATATCATCTGCACTTGCTATTTAAAGCATTTAGTTTAAATATGATCTTTTGTGAATCAATAAAATGTAAAAAATTAAAAAATACCCTGCTTAATGACCACAGTAAGCTAAACAGCCTCAGCTAGGAGCTACTTTATACTACATTCAGTCTATTCGCTGAGTTTTATGCCTAAAGTCAGACATGTGTTCACAGATATGTTTATATCATCTGCACTTGCTATTTAAAGCATTTAGTTTAAATATGATCTTTTGTGAATCAATAAAATGTAAAAAATTAAAAAATAAAAAGCATGGAAAGCAACTATAGATACCAGAGACAGTGTGGGAGGAGAGTGGGAAATGGCAGAGATTGAGAGGGAAGGAATCAAGGGGGAAAAAAAAGAAGCGGAATATATAAGAAACAAGAAATGGAAAATTATTTGTTGAAGATACTATCTTTGATTGAGCCAATTTACAGTGTATTCTCCATGAGAAAAGTCATTTTGTGTACTGTAATGATACACAGTGAATGAATGTAAAATAAATAACTTCTAAACAAAATTTTAAAAAAGGAAAGATTGATAAACCAGGAAAAAAAAACTCTAAAAAAGTAAAAGTAGCAATGTTTTCTCTGCTACTCTTACTATAATTTTAAATTCCTATACTTTCAAAACTTCGATAGAAAACAAAGTATGTAATATTTGTATTTTTGAGTACTGTGCATTCTCCGTGCACCTTCCAATATACCACCTACACGCTTATCCCAAGGTTGTCATGTCCAGACTACGAGTTCTTATGAGTTTATAGACTGTATTCTGTTTAGCTTTTGGTTTCTATAGTCTCAAAAGGAGAAGAGAGAAAAGGAAAGAAGAACTGGTCATCTCTCCCTCTGATCTATCTCATTACTGTCACATCAATATAGCACCTACTATATCCCGCTTTACATTATGTGTAGTTATTCGTACATTTGTTCCTTCTAGGAGTTTCTGAACTCCTGATCTTGATGTTCATTCCCAACCAGCACACAGCACTTTATGTATAGTGGATTAAAGATATCCATACAAAGAATGTCCATTTTGGGAGCTAATCCCATCTAAACTTCCCTAGCCGTTTTTCTAAAACTATAATTCCTAATTATCTTTCATTTTACCTGAGTATTTTTCAGTGATGTTACCTTATGTTTTCGGTAGAGGTTGTTGTAGAAGGCTCTGAAATTTTTTCTAGTGTAGCTGCTGCGATATGCTCCACCAATGAGGTATTCTATTACCAGGCCGATGTCGATCAGGGTTATTCTGTAGCCTGCGAGAAGAGTGTGCTGGAACCAACACAGGCAGTGAACTTAACTTTCAGTTCTCCCTCCGTCTCTTTCTCTGTGCTACTGGATTAGAACCAAATGAACCACAAAGAGGTAGACTCATACTTTTTAGTATCTCTACAAACTGAGCTAGTACTGTGACTAGCTATTGCTATAATCTGCTTGTTCAGAAGGAGAAAGGATCTTAGCCTTCATGTTTTTAGTTTTAGAGACATCAGTGCATACTTACACCTGTTCTGTTTCTCCCGCTCTCTCTCTCTCCTCTCTTACTCACTCTCCCTATCATGCATACATACATACATGCACATTTGAATAAAATACACTTAAATATAATATAAAAAAATTGTTTTTTCGGGACCAGCAGAGGGTGTAATGGTTTCATCACTGGACTCTCAGATAGTTGACCGAGGTTCAAGTTCTGGACCCAATAGTTTAAAACTCAAGCTGGCCGTGTGTGCGTGCTTGCCCAAAATCCCAAGAGGAGAATGGAGGAAAAGGGACTGTGGCATGGCCATCACCCAGAGGATGATTTCTTGCTTTCTGTCTCTCTGTCTCTGTCTCTCCAGCAAGCACTCACACTATATAGCAAAAACTCTCAAAAAACATTGCTTGTAAATAAAAATAATGTAACTGTTACAACAGAAGTAAAATCATAAAGTATGAGAAATCTTTAAAAGTTCATAGAAAATACACATTTTGAAAAAACTATATGCACAGGTTTTTAATTTTATTTGCATCAAGATAAATTCATACTTTAATTTCATTTCTCCATGAGAACTTCAAATCTTGTCATATATACTGAATGTATCTGAAATTAACATTGAGTTAACTTTTCAATCTCTTTCTCCTTTTGGAAATAGCTGTAACATTTGCACTGTGCTGACTACATCATATTTAAAATAAATTATGGCAAGATGTAGAACAAACAAAAAAATAAGAAAAACAGTTCAGCTGTGGTGACACAAGTAGCAGTGTGCTGCAGCAATAGGTGGGAGCCACATGAGAGGCCTGGGTTCAGTTCCTAGACCAACCTAAACAGAAAAGATACAGTACCACACAGTTACCACCAGGCCAGCTATAAGGCTGGAGCAGGAGGACCACAACACGGTGAGACACTGTCCCCCCAAAATTCTTTCTCTCCTTCTTCTCTTTCTCCCTTTTCCTTCTGTTATCCCTCTCTCCTCTCTCATTAAAAGAAAAAAAAAGAATAAATTGAATGGCAGAGCAAATGAGCTATCCAAACAGGAGGCTATGCTGAGGAAAATCATGACTGGCAACTGAGCGAGCGGCAGGTTTCCAGGTACCTGGGTCTTATTCTAAATGAAAATGATTTTGATCTCTAAACTTCACCTTACAACTGCTTCATAATTGCTTCCTACTGAACTAACATTTATAGAAAGTTTCAGAGTGCTGAACGAGGTCTCTGAAATGAACAGACTCTGAATAATGTTCAAAATCCTATGAGCGGGAACCAGCAGTTAGCGTAATGGCTATGTCGCTGGACTCCCACGTAGTCGACCGCGGTTCACATCCTGGACCCGGTGGCGTAAAACTCACACCGGGCACGTGTGCGTGCATGCCCAAGATCTCGAGAGGAGAATGGAGGAGAAGGGATTGCGGCATGACCATCCCCTCTGGGGGGTGATTTCTTGCTTTCTGTCTCTATGTCTCTCTCTGTCTGGTGAGCACATGCGCCCTATAGCAAAAACCTCTAAAAAAACAAAAATCCTATGAGCAAGAAAGCAGCCTTATATATATAAGTAATACAAATAGTCATTTTTTTCATATCCATAATTCATCATGAAACACCAAAATTAATGTCCTTAATTGCGACTAGTTAAAAGTTTATTTAAGCTGGAGCCAACAGGTAGCATGGTAGTTGGGGTGCTGGACTCCCACATGGCCAACTGCAGTTTGAGTCCAAGAACTAGTGGCTTGAAAGTCCTGTCAGGCTCATGTGCATGTATACCTCAAATCCCAGGAGGATGGAGAAGGGATTGTGGTGTGGCCATCTCTCCGCAGGCAGGGGATGATGATTTTTCACTCTCCCTCGCACCGTCTCTGTCTCTCTCCAGTGTGCGCATGTGCCTTATGGCAAAAACCTAAAAAAAATAATAATAATAACAAGTATACTTAAATTATTTATTCCTTTTTTCATTTAATTGTGATAGGATTGAGGAAATAATTTAAGGAAACAATTTTGATATAGCATAAATCAATATAAACTAAATTTCCATCAGCATGAACACCTTTGCTTACTACTGATTTGCCAAATAAATGTCTTCCTCCTGCTCTGGTTTTGCCAGAGTCAACATATTTCTAACAGATGTCAGACTTCAGAAAAGTGAGAAAATAACTTTTAAAACTTACTGTGGATTAATTTTTTAACTGTAGTGACAAATAAAAAAGCACTCCCATAGTTATGTCGCTGGACTCCCATGTAGTCGACCATGATTTGAGTCTTAGATCTGGCGGCTTAAAACTCACGCTGAATACGTGTGCATGCATGCCCAAAATCCCGAGGGGAGAATGGAGGAGAAGGGATTGTAGTGTGGCCATCCCCTCTAGGAATGATTGCTCAATTTCTATCTCTCAGTCTTTCTCTGTCTCTCTAGTGAGCACATGCACCCTATAGCAAAAAATCTCTAAAAACAAAACAAAACAAAAAAAAGATATTCCCACTTTTCTGGGGATGTGAATAAAGTTACTGGTAAATAAAAAAGAAGAAATTGAGGTTAAAGGAAGTGTAGTCTCTTGCAGTTGGTAAGTTTTGATAACTAAAGGGGGATCCAATGATTTTAAGCCTGACCTAACAAAGCTCAGAGATTACCATAAGCAAAATATGAGGAATCTTCAAAACATTCATGGAAAAATAACCATTATGAAAACACTATGCATGATTTCAAAACTTTTTTGCACCAAAATAAACTTGTACTCGAATCCTATTTTTACATAAACCTTTGGAAATACTCTCTTTTGACCAGGGTATAGAGCAGTGGGATTCATCCCATCTCCCTAGAAGAATGCTTAGATGTAGACTCATGAAAGAATTGATAGTATCCCTGAATTATCACTAATATTCAAAACAACAATAACCAAAAATACGGCAATCACATAGTAGTACACCAATAAAGATAACAACCACAAAGTTCTTTATTTCGGCTGGTATTAGCATCATCACCAGCATCATTCTTGTATCATGTTAAGCTGAAGTTCTGATTGGAAGTGTTGTATGTCTCCCCTGTTTTTTATTAGCTATTGTCACTTACTTGATGAATCAAACCTTTAAAAACATAAAGTTAATGATTCAAAAAAAAGTCAGAGCATGGGTCGGTGATGACGTTCAGAATCACATGTAAAGAGGTAGCTAATATACTAGAAAATCCAAATGTAGAATTTATGAAGCAAAATCTGGTGACTCCTCGCCCACAAAGCTAAGGCAATATACAAAGATTTTCATACTTTCGTAATTAGATTACCTGCTTTACATCTTGGACAAGATGATATAAGAGCATATTAGTAGGTCCTTGCTTCTGTGACAAAAAAAATAAATAAATAAAAGGAAGAATTACTCCCTTCAATTACCATGTGTTAGCAGGAGAAAAACAATTCATTTAGAATCTACTAATAACCCTGAATTGTAAAACTTTTGTTCTACTCTTCTAGGAATTAAGTTTAAGGCAATTAATTCTAATGAAGTTGTTTCCTATGTGAAGATAAAATTAAAGTATTTCTCAAAGCTAGCTCACATACATATATAGATACTAAAAACTTTTAACTTTCTCTTGGTAAGAGGCAGAAATATATATATACAATTTACAAATATAAATCCTAAGGATCACAACATGGCAAGAATTTGTAGCTATCCTTTATCATAAGCAAGTCTTATTACACAATTAAAAATCTCATCAAACAGGTACATTCCATCAACAGATCTATTGAACTATTGAACCTTACTGTGTTCAAACTGGCTTCTAAGGGGACAAGCAGTTAGCATAATGGCTATGTCACTGGACTCCCATGTAGTCAACTGGGGTTCGTGTCCCGGACTCGGTGGCTTAAAACTCACGTTGGGCATGTGTGCGTGCATGCCTAAGATCCCAAGAGGAGAATGGAGGAGAAAGGATTGTGACATGGCCATCCCCCCTGGGGGGTGATTTCTCACTTTCTGTCTCTCTGTCTCACTCTGTCTGGCGAGCACATGCGCCCCATAGCAATAAAACCTCTCCAAAAATAAAAAAATAAAAAAGAAAAAAACTGGCTTCTAATGGATTCAATGGCGTGTTTACAGTAGTAGAAAAGAGTGGGTACTTGCACTAAAAGACATCCAACAATACAACAATGTATGTGTTCAAAAACAGTTACAGATAATTTATACTCCATGAACAGATCACTCTAAACTAACTAGATAATCAAGAAAACAGGCTATGACTAGGTCTTTGAAGAACAGATAAGATACCAAGGACAAGGAAGAATATTTCAAGGCTACCCAGCCTGAGCAGTTGGAATTTTTATAATGAGTAAGCCACTCTGGTTTCAACAAAAGATCTGCGTAGGAAAGCTGCAGGACTGGCATTATAATAGTGATCTCAGATTGAGATACTTCCAATATCTCAATAAAGAGCAATCTGTTCTTATTTTTATCTTTGTCTTAAACTATGTCTTACTGGGATAAAATAGAATTAAGGCTGCTTTTCCTTTGGTTGAAAAATCTTTCTATAAACTATCCTTGTATATGAACATTCAAGAAGACATATAAATCTTAAACAAACTAATAATTAATCTGAAGGGAAATGACTGATGAAACGTTCCCTACTCACCGTATTATAGAGCTCTTCCAGTCGGGGGATGGTGAGAAAGCGATGGAGGTTCACTCCATATTCTATTAAGAGCTTCACAAAATCCACCTGATCCATCAGTAAAGCATCTAACATTGCTTGTTCCAGTGCACCAGGCTTCAGAGGGTCCAAATAAGTAAGAAAAGTGAAGACAATTAAGAAAGTAAAACAACTAAAGGATTACATGTGTTTAAGCTCAAAACCACACAGGCACACTACAACTTTACTAAGAAAAGTGCAGAACTTGGGTGAAGACATCTGGAATAAATCAAAAATCATTCAATGTTCTTGGATGGGAAAACTGTAGTAAAGATCTCATAACTTCCTAAATTAATGGACAGGCTCTCTCTCTCTCTCTCTCTCTCTCTCTCTCTCTCTCTTTAGGAAGCACATAAGCCCTACAACAAAAATCTCTCTGTTAAAAAAAAAAATCACACTGATCTCGTGGGCATACAGACCCAAAATCCTGAGAGGAGAAGGGATGCAGTACAGCCATGACCCTGTGGGTGATTTCTCACTTCCCTGCTCTCTGTCTCTGTCTCTCTCTCTCTCTGATGTGCACATATGCCCTATTGTTGTAGAGTGCCACCGACTGAACGACCACCAAATCCAGATTAAGTTTAAAGGGAGTCTTTATTAGCTGGCCAGTGACTACAGTCTGAGGCTGGGGGTTGGGGGGGTGGGGGGAAGAAGGAAGTGCCGAGAGTCAGAACTGTAGCCCTACTGAAGTTGGAGTAGTCTTTTTATAGGTGGTCAGTTACCAGGGGTTTCTATGCAAGCAGTTACAGAAGCTGAATCAAGCAGGTTAATGATTTCTGAGGGGAGTGGGGTTTCCATGTAAGCAGTTACATTGCTAAACAGAAGAGTTTCGGGCTAGTTAGTAAAGACAGGAGCAGGTACAGGATGTCATCCTGGATGCGGTTTTAGTACTAGCTATTTTCTCATGGGGAGAGCAAGCAGGAATACAGAAGCAGACAGCCATGTTAGGGTAAGGGAACAAAATGGACAAACAGTTGTTCATGTGCAAGATCTAATATACAGCCTTTCACACTATCATAAAAAAATCTTTAAAAAAAAGCACCAACTAGGGGCCAACAAGTGGCCTGGTGGTTAAGGCAGCTGGATACCACATGGCTGACTGCACTGAACTAGTCTGGAGCCTGGCAGCCTTAGAAACATGCCAGGTTCCTGTGCGTGTGTGCTCAAAATCCATAAAGTAAGACAAGATGGAGAAGAAACTGCAGCATGACCATCACCATAGGATGCTTTCTCCTCTCCCTCATTCTCTCTGTCTCTGTCTCTTTCCAATGAGCACACATGCTCTCTAGCAAAAAAAAGGAGGAAAATTAGTTCCAATAATGAATTAAAATATAGCCAAACATCACAATAGTGTGTATCTGTGAATTTATCTGTCATCAAAAGAGTACTTTGCCTAATAAAAAAGGCCTGACTAGTGTGCAAAATATTTAATCTTTTGTGAAATTATAGTTTATCATTAATTTCTATCTGTGAGTTACCGTTATAAATATCACCTGTATTTTTGACACATGCAAATTTTATTTTGCCAATGTTTGCTGCATGAACTGAATGAAATTTTTGTTGGAAAAATGTGTAAAGCCAAACATTTAAGTCCTTATAATATTTACCTCCCCTACTCTCTTCAACAGGACATTACTAAGCAATGTGCACCATCAAAATAAAGCAGTAAACCAAGAAAGAGGAAGAGATGGGATACAGAAAGCAGGAACTCTAATGCGAGAGAGAGGCAAAGGTAATCCCCAAGATGAGGACAGTATATCCCCAAGTGACAGCTGAGCATGGGGAATGGAAGGAGCTAGTCCCCACATCAGCCACAAGGAACACAGACAAATGTTGAGAGTTTTTTAAGTAGATGAATCTGAAAACAGCAATATTCTACTTTCCATTTTTATTACATTTTAAAGCAAAAATAAGACGACCTTAAGTTTTAAATCAACTATTGGTGAATTTTAATCCACTAGTTCCAAAAAATTAAAATCCTTATATTCTTTCTCCTAACGTCCTTTTTAGGTTCAATTAAGTTGCAGAATCAGTGAGGGAAAAAGAAGAAAAATTTTCAGGAAGGCAAAGTAGATGAGAGAATGTGTGAGCTAGCCCTGGAAACTCAGATGCAAAGATGCTACCCCCACATGCCCACAAACCAACTTCTCCCTCCTCGGTTTTCTCTTTCGTTCCTCCCTAACCACAGACACACAAATATTTTCTTCCAAACAACTTCATTTTCACTATACCTTCCAAGGTTGTTCATAAATTAAGATATGTTTCTTGGCGATATCCACTCTATCCCAAGCCATTGCCAGATTTAATTGTTCTGATGCTGATAAATTTGTACCTAGAGTAAAAGAAAGAAAGTCACGCATTCAATACACGAAGTGTCATGGAACGTGAGAAGAGGAAGTGAGGAACCACTGAAGCCCCCCCTTGAACACTCACGCTTCAGCAACGCTGTCAGGATTGCTAAATCGAGGTCTCGCTGGTCCTCAGAATCAGCATCAAATATGATCATCTGTAACAGTTGAACAATACAAAGCATACTTTCAGGGAACTACCAATGAAACGTTTCCAAAAAGCATTCACAGAATTCCCTCTTGGGCCAACGAACTGAGGAGAACATTCTTCATTGGTAATGTAAAAGCCAATATTGTTGTGATTTTATTTTATTTTTTCTACTTACAGAAAACTTTTAAAGTAGGGTAACAAAGAATTGTAGGCACTAAAAGAAAAATTGTCCAAAATGTCACATACACTAGAGGAAACATTTATGGAAAAATATTATTATGCTAATTTATTCTATACCTGCTACAAGGAAAAGAGCCTCAATTAATTTCTAATGTAAATAAAATCAGGGCCAGCTGGGTGATGTGATGGTTAAGGAAGCCAGATCCTACATGGCCGACTGCAGGGCTAAAGTCCTAGACATGCAGCTTGAAAAACACACCAGGCCTGTGTGCCCAAAATCCTAAGAAGAGAATGGAGGAGAAAGCATTGCAGCATAGCCTTCCCCCTGGGTGGGGAGGATGATTTCTCACTTTCTCTCTCTCTCTCTCTAACTCTCTTTCTCTATCAGCTGAGCATATATGCCCTATAACAAAACTAAAGAATTAAAATAAAATTAGCTAGCCCCCCTTTTGAAGGAATACCAAATAATAGCCTTCTGTTAACTGAGCCTTAGAAACTAAGACTTCAGGAGCCAGCAGGGAGTGAGGTAGTCAAGGGTCTGGATTCTCACATGGCCGACCATGGTTTAAGTCCCAGATCTGACAGCTTGCTTTCTCACTCTTTCTTTCTCTCTTTCTGGTGAGCCCATGTGCCTACAGCAAATTAACAAAAAATAATAATGATGATAAATAAAATCAAATAAATTCTTTAAAAAAAATGACACTGGACTCCCATATGGCTCACCACAGTTTGAATCTCAACCTGGTGGTTTGCTTTCTCACCTTCTCTCTCTCACATGTGTGAAAAATACATATTCCCTATAGCATATTAAATAATAATAATAAATAAACTTAAATAAATAATTATTTTAAAAATTAAGATCTTTGACGCTTAATAGGAAATAAATCCCTAAGGGTTTATCATAAAATACATGAGGCAATTTTATAATGGACCTGATGAGCAAGTATGATGGACGGCACTCATGGCCGTCACAATGCCAAAGTGTCAAGTGTATCCTGGCATGGGACTGACTTTGCTCTTTTTTAAGACAAATAAGGACTTTACTTATAGCTACAAAGAGTCACCTGTTATGGACCTCAGGTGGTGTAACAGTTATGTCACTGAACTCCCATGTACTCGAACACAGTTCGAGTCCCAGACTCGGCAGCTTAAACTCAAGCCAGGTGTGTATGCATGCATGCCCAAAATCCTGAGAGGAGAATGGAGGAGAAGGAGTTGCAGCATGGCCACTCACCCTCCTAGGAAGTGATTTCTCACTTTTTGTCTCTCTGTCTCTCCAGTGAGTATACATGTCCTATAGCAAAAATTTCTCTCTTAAAGAAAAAAGAGTCACCTGTTATTAATGATCATATCTCAGTATTTCCCAGTGAAAATACATTTCATCTAGTAGAGGGAGCTGGTTTAATGGGAAAAAGCCAAGACTGACAAGTCTTCATTCCAGGTACACCACTGACTGGCCAGCCTCGGGTAAATAGCTACCTAAATATGCTACTGAATCACAGGTTCTCCATTTACCTAATGAGGAGAACCCACTGAACAATCTCTAAAGTTCCATAAAGATACAAATACTGCGTTTCTACAACTTCTCCCATTGTTCCCTTCACTTACCATTACCTCTGTGCACATGATCAAAATCCCCTAAAACACTAAAAACTTCTGAGTCTGCATTACAGCCATAGCCCATAGTCTGTGGGCTCCATTTACCATCCCAGAGCCTGTTCTCACGTTTTCTATTGCCCAAACCATTCCCAGGGACCTCCTGCAGGATTTACAGGATGCTGGAATGCAGTCATCTACACTAGCAGACCTGAGTTTAACGAAGACCTGGAACTGGCCCCTTACCCTCTGAAAATATTTGTGTACAATTTTCACTAAGTCTGGTAACTTCTCTCTCACACTGCTATGCTAAATGCTTTTTCCCAGGTAGAGTTTGGAATTTGAATCATGAAGGGTTGGAGTAGGTCAATAAGAAGCCACATTTACTCAACTAAGGGTCAAATTCTATGAAGTTACACATTCTCAAGTTAAAAGTGGAAATTTTTCATATTTTTTAAAAATTAGGAAAATAAATATGAACTTTTTGGAAATCAGTATCTTTTTTTTGAGAGAGAGATTTTTGCCATAGAGCTCGTGTGCTCACTGGAGAGACAGAGACAGACAGAGAGACAGAGAGAGACAGAAAGTGAGAAGTCATCCCATGAGAGGAGATGGCCATGCCACAATCCCTTCTCCATTCTCCTCTTGGAATTTTGGGTACACCTGCACATGCTCCTGGTGTGAGTTTTAAGCTGCTGGGTCTGGGACTCGAGCTGCAGTCAACTATTTGGGAGTCCAGAGATGTAACCATTATGCAATCTGCTGGTCCCAGGAAATCAGCACTTTTTACTCAGTAATCAACTCATGTTACTCACAGAATCTCTGTGTACCATACACTCCATGAGAATGTGGAAAAGGTGCTTGGACTGTTCAAGGCTAAAGTTGAAAGTGTTCTGTATCATGCCGATGATCTCCTCTTTCACCTGAGGACGCAGCACCCTAGGACAGAAATAGATGGTCATAACTTGACACATCCCAGAACAGGAAACAAGCCAGCATCATCAGGACAAGGAAACCCACCTGCCCTACCTGACCGAGATGGTTTCTAAGGACAGTTCTCCCAAGACAGCAAGTGAGCAGGAAGCAAATGGAAGAAGGCACCCCTGGAGAAGGCTGATGAGAAATTGAGAAGGGCTTGTTCTGCCATTACCCTGAAAAGAATACACTCTGAGGCAGAGTTCTTGAGTTGATAGATCTCCAGAAGGCGATGCATATCCAGAAATAATGGCCATCATATTCTTGAAGGGATCTGAAACTACAGAAGGTTCAGGAACCACCCATCCAGGATGCCTTTAGGAAAGGGACAGAGGGAAAAGGACAGGAAGGGTACAGAGGGTAGAAAAGGGCTGAGGGTGGAAGAACAGAGAGAAATTATAAAAGACAAGACTCCAGAAAGCTGTTAGAACATAAGCAGTAAATAAATGTTTACTAAATAAATTAGTGGGCTCAACATTTTAGTTCTCAGTAGGCACTCTATTTATTTATGCAGTAGAAATACCGTGGTTTTGGAACTGGAAAAATGACACTGGGTATAGGGATAGCTAGAGAAAAAAGAAGCCCTTTTCAGAAGGACAACATATTCTATGCAAATGCCAGGATTTTGATTTCCCCAAGTTTTGCTGTTCTCACTAATGGGGAATGAGTATGAAGGTGATCTGGAACTGACACTGACCACCTCTCCCTGCAGGGTTCTTCCAGCTGTAATGACCAATTGCAGGAGAAATTCCTCCCTCACTCTCCCTGGACATCTTCCCAAAGCTGAGACAAAGCTCAAGGTTCCCTCCAAAAGATAGGCCACTCATCAGCTAAGAAAACAGCAAGGTTCATCATTAGAGGCCATATTGGTGTTGATCAACAAATACAACAAAACAAAATGCAAAGTCATCGAAATGTGAATTTCAGTCTCAGCCCCTATACTCCAAGGATATGTGACCCACATAAATGCACAGCTTAAAGAACTAAACTTAAAGAATCAAGTCACCGTGTTTCAAAAAGGAAGAGTCAACAACTCACCCTGCCTCTGCGAGGTGTTTATGGGTGAAGGCCAGGAGGTCAGCGGCTCTGCCTGTGCCTTTACACACCACCACTGGGTCTTTGTCCTGGAGAGTTTCCCACACCGAGAGGATGACATTGGGACCTCCTTCCACCACCAGCCCCACCACGGGCACTCCTTGTCTGGAGCCTATTTCAGAACACAAATGATACCAAACTGTTACATGGATCCCTGTCTCAGCCAGAAAGCCATTTTGCTTTCCAGATACAAGTCTCCCGTTTACCACTCATCTTCATTCCTTGCACTAGCCCCTCTCTTATTTTACCCAGGCTTGTTTAGATCAAGACAAAGCCAGAAGGTTGGCTATAGTGGCACAGTGGTAGCACGCCACTCCATTGTGCTGGAAGATATGCAGATGATCAGGGTTTGGTTCCCGGGTCAATTTGCACATGTGAGGTGCACTCCTGCCCATGATCTTAGCTGACTAGGAAGGCTGAGGACCAAGGCAGAAGGATTTTCTCTCTCTCTGTCTCTTAGATAAAGAAATAAAGACCAAGCCAGAAGTTTGGACTGCTACTAAATGTAGCATGCATACATTTTGGTGAGAGCAACTTCAAGTTCTTACCAGGTGAAAAGGTAGCCAAATGCTTTCAGTAACTTTAAAAAATAAGTAGTTCTCGGGACTAGCGGATGATGTAATGGTTACATTGCTGAACTCCCATGTAATTGCCTGTAGTTCTAGTCCCAGACCTGGTGGCTTCAAACTCACATTGGGTACATGTGCATGCATGCTCAAGATCCCAAGAGGAGAATGGAGGAGAATGGACTGTGGCATGACTATCCCTCCGAGGGGTGATTTCTCACTTTCTGTTTCTCTGTATCTCTCTCACTCTTTTTCTCTCTGGCAAGCGTACACCCTACAGCAAAAATCTCTCTTTAAAAATTTTTTTAAAAAAATCAAAATTAGTTCTCAAGACATTTTAAATTTTGATCAAGAAAATTCTGAATTTACCTATAAGTAAGCAGCACAATATAATAGATCCCATGTATCCATCACTCATCTCTAAAAATACTCAATCTTTTGCTAGTTCAATAAACTTTTAATGGTGGTTATTTCTAAGAACAAGATGGTATAGACAAATATTATCAGAAGATTTCAATTTATCCCATTGTGCACTTTTGAATTTCTTATCATGACTATTTATTCAAGCAGTAAAAAAGGAAATGATTGTGGAAACTTTTTAAGAGAAAAAATTGCAGAAAAATATGCATAGCATTATCTGACATGTTTTTAAAACTATATATAGATATTTTATATACTTGTATGCATATACCCATATGTATAACATGTTAACATAAGTGACAGAAAACTATGGAAGAATATACATAAAAATATTTTATTAAAATTTTGCAGAGGGTGCATGTACTTGCTACAGACAGAAAGACAGAGAGAGAGGAGGGGGAAGAAAACACATCCCAGTGGGTGGTGGTGATTCTGTAATCTTTTCTCCTCTGTTTCTGCATCCTGACAGGACTTGGAGCACACATGCACATGTGCCCACTGTGTTTTTCAAGCCACTGAGGCTGAAAAACAGGATTCGAACCTCATGTTGGCCATGTGGGATCTGTCTTCTTTAACCAGTAGTCCATGGGGCTAGCCCAATATATAATCTTGCATGTGTGGTAGGGTGCCTCTGCCCAATGCTGGGGCTCTGTGGGAGGTCCTGGGTTGACATCTGTCTGTCTATCTGTCTCTCTCTCATTAAAAAGAAACTTTAAAAAAGCTAAACGGGGGCCAGCAGGTGGTAAGGTGGTTAAGGCACTGGACTCCCATAGGGCTGAGTACAGGTCAAGTCCCAGACCTGGTAGCTTGCCTTTTCACTTTGTCTCTCTCTCTCTCTCTCTTTGATGAATTAAAATAATAAATAAATATTTTTTAAAAAAAGTTAAATTGATAGGGAGAAAATGGCATATTATGTAACAAAAGTAATAAAAGAATAAAATTTCAATGAATATTTCATGAATGTTAGAATGAAAAAAAACTTTTTTCATTATGTAGCCATTAAAATATGCTAAATTATGCTTATTTCCACCTCCAAATTACAAGTTCCTACAGTAGACATCTTATCCCAGGACAGGGCACTTTTGTCCATCGAGAAGCTCATGCCTGACGTCATGTTCTAGGAGGGTTACGAAACAGAAGCTGACATTTGGCCACATTTCAAACAGCAGAGGCCAGGCATTCTGGTAGAGCCTCTACAGAGTGAGTCTTTTCTGTTCACGCTCTTCTTTTGTAAGTATCCTCTGCCATCAAAGGTTTCCCAGGGACTCAGGAAATAAAGGAAAGTAATCCACAACATACTTATGTATTTTCATTTCATCAAAGTAAATCCCTTTTTGACCAAGTCGATGACCAACACAAATATGGCAGAAAACCTCTCTTGTTAAATATGTCAGGTATAAAGATCAGTTTTGAAAATTAAGAATTTGGGGTCTGTGGGAGCATTTTTCTTTTTTTTTAGTTTATTCTGTGTGAGTATGGGGGGGGCGTGGGTAGGTGGTTTACTGTTTTTGCCGTTTTCATATAGATTCTCCTTGGAATACTCAATGTTACCAATATGCTGTAATCGACCCCTCATTCGTTCTTCACAGTCAGTGAAATTCCCAAGATAAATCCTGTTTCATGGTTCACTGCTACAAAGGGTCTCCAAAAAAAATCATGGCAAATGCATAGTATGAAAAAATTTGCATGGATGTCAAAACTTTTGCAATAAAATAAACTCAAATTTTAATTTCATGTTCCATGTAGGTTTTAAATCCCCTCCTACAAGCAAGCTCAGGGTTGTGAACAAAATGGGGAATAGCAGGGAATACAAATGACAGAAACGTTGCTTTCATGGGGCATGCACTGCAGTACTACACAGCAGCCCAAGCAGTTTAGGGGTTGCAAATAGGTCAGTCGAGGCAATAGGGCATTTCAGGTAACTAACATTTCAGACCCTCAATGGGCTCTTCCCTTTTTCTTTGGATCCATTCTCTGAACCCTGCTTCTTCCCTCCCATCTGTTGGCCTCTCTTTCTCCTATAACCCCCACTCCACGGAGGACAGCATCTGATCCACTCTCCTCTTTCTGTGGCCTCAGAACTATCATTTCACACAAGCTCAAAGTGTTTGTCAACAATTTCTAGAACACTACCCCCCCACCCCAACTTGTCTCAAAGCCATGAGATGACCACTATACCAAAAAAGGAAAAAGGAAAGGAAGAAACAGACCTTTCTTAAAGACATGCTATGCACCTAACACTGACCTAGACACACCTGACATACATTTTTTTCAATTAATTGTCACTGCAGAAGTTAGAGGTAGAGAGTTTCTTCCATTTTCATAGTAAGAAAATGGTTTTACAGATGCTACTTTCATTACCCAAGGTCACAGGCAGTAAAAGACAGAGCTCTGATCAGTCCAACCTCACCAAGTTCTGTCACTTCAAGGGATCCAGCTGAAAAGGCACTTCTCAAAGCAATACTCAAAAGTTGAAGTTTTGAGCCTCCTGAAGCATTCCTATTTAGTAGTTCTCGACTCAAAAGGATAGAACTATTTCATGGAACATTTAATTTTTCAATGAAAGAAACTGAGGTTCATCTTCTGCTTTGGACAAAAGTCTCTATTTCTCCAGGTGGTACCCAGCCTTCCCCCTTCTCTGTGAAGGACACACCACTCTGCCCACAGATCAGTGCTGATTCTGGCCCTGCCTCTCGCCTGCCCTCCTACAAGTTACTGTTTTGAAGTCCCTCTGGGAGCATGACACAATCCTGACACCTTTCCAGATCTCTGTATCTAAAAGTCCTGTCTGGCTTTAACTCCTTCCTTGTCCATGGTCATCCCACCCACATATGGAATGTGATCTTCCCTGACCATCCACCATCATAACCTACTCTTCACAAGCTATGCTATTGCTCTTCAGCCATTCTCATTCCCACACACATAACTTCCCATCCCTCTCTTTCCACCACTCCAACTTTAAGGACTCTTTCTTTTTTATAGAATTATTTTATTTAACTGTATTTATTTACTTGTTTTTTAATTGACCAGAGAGGGACAGAGAGAAAGTGAAGTGAGAAAGCAAGCCTCCAGATCAGAGACTCAAACTACAGTTGGCCATGTGGGAGTCCAGCGGCCCTAACCACCACACCACCTGCCGACCCCAACTTTAAGGACTCTTAGACTCTGCTAAAGTCTCCATCTTTCCTTGAAACCTCCTGACTTATTGTCCCCCAGCGATTTCTTCCTCGCTTTCACCTGTTACCCACAATTCTGGACCATCTTAAATTGCATTTTCTTCTGGCCGTGGGTTCATACATGTTACCTTCATCTCTCTGGCTGTTCTAAAGCAGGGTAGCCTTGGCCCTCTCTGCTCCATACAGATGACAACAGAGTCTAGCGCCTCAGCAGTTTAGACCAGACCCGTTGGCTGAGTCTCTGTGATACTCACAGCTGTGAATTTTCTGCAGAGAGAGGTACTTCTCCAGGTTCCTTCTGAGCTTCATCTCATTTCCGTACTTGCCCACAGTCCCATCATCAGACAGGATGAAGTGTGAGTGCATACAGTTGAGCATGGTGAGCTTGCTCAGGGGGTTCCCTAGAGTCTGGTACAGACACACCACCTGAGAGACAGCAAGAGCAAGGGAAGGTCAGAGACTAGATCCTTCCCCAGGCCTAGCTCCTCCAAAGGCCTGTTTCTATGCACTAACAGATTTCCTGTCAAGGCTAAAAGTATACTTACTACTAAAAGCAGTGCTCCTCAAACTATCTGTGGAAAATAATCGATTTTTTTTTTTAGTTTTCCATGTTTTTATGGACCAATATATCCTATGATGCATAACTAGAATGCAGTTCATGATACATGAGACTTATTGTTCAACACAAGTTGAACAATACCTGTGTATTCCATGTTTAGCAACATAAGCCCACTGACCTTGTGTTTTTATATCACATGGTCACATGACTACCAATGGTTCTAAATATTCTTTTTTTCCATTTTCTTCTCTCAGACTATTAAAAAACAGTCAAAAGACTAGCATGTGTACATAAACCATGCCATTACCCCATAATACTGCCTTTCAATAGATCTAGTCCAGAGTAATATTTTGACACTGATTTTCTTTCCATTATTCTAAATAAAATAAGAGTAACAGCCAACTGGCCAAATGGCATTTCATTCCATACAAAACATCAAGATCTTTATTACATTTATGGATTGTCCCTTAAACTGATCCAATTCTTACTTGCTTTTTGAAGCAGGAGCACAGTATTAGAACTGGAGTGCTCAAGTTTAAGTCTTCTTCCACTTACTAACTGTAACTCTCAGTAATTCCTATCTTTTTCCTTATGTATAGATGAAGATGACAATAATTCCTACACCAGGAAACACAAGAAGCTTCAAAGAAATAATAGATGTAAAAAGCACTATGAATTTTAAAAACATTAGACTTTAAAAGTTACCTGTATAATTCCAAAGCATGAAATGAGGCCAGAAACCAAAAGCAAAATGATTGACATATTTAATACTGTTTTTTATTTATGGAAAAATAGCATAAAAACTTAGAGAAATGAAGTATACATAATGAACAAAAAAAATTACATCAGGCTGAAAAGATAATATAAAAGGGTGTGTGTGTTGGGACCAGCAGTTAGCGTAATGGTTATATCGCTGGACTCCCATGTAGTCGACCGCAGTTCACGTCCCGGACCCGGTGGCTTAAAACTCACGCTGGGTGCGTGTGCGTGTGTGCCCAAGATCCCGAGAGAATGGAGGAGAAGGGATTGTGGCATGGCCAGCCCCCCTAGGTGGTAATTTCTCACTTTCTGTCTCTCTGTCTCTCTCTGTCTGGTAAGCGCATGCGCCCTATAGCAAAAACCTCTCCAAAAAAAAATAGTGTGTATGTTCATTGGACAGAAGAGAGACAGTGAGAGGGAAAGTGAGAAATCACCCCCTAGGATAAATGGCCACACCACAATCCTGTCTTCTCCATTCTTCTCCAGGGATTCTGGCCACACATGCACACATATCCAGTGTGATTTTCAAGTCACCAAGTCTGGGACTCAAATCATAGTCAGCCATGTGGGAGCCCAGTGCCTTAACCACTATGTATGCTTTTCAGTGGAAAATGTTTTCCACTTGAAAATGCACAAAGACATATGAAAAGATGTCTAACTTCAGCAGCAACCAGAGAACTGGCCATGAGAAAAAACAGGTATTATTTCACATGTATCAGAATGGCAATGTCTGGAAAAGCCAGAGATTCCAGTATTAGCAGAGGTACAAGGAAAGGGGCACCCACCTACCCAGCTGCAGGGGAGCTGTTACCTCCTCTCCAGATGGCAGTAAGTCACATTTTCAATGGTCATACAAACTAGCCAGGCATTCTGCACCAAGAATTACTTCGAGAGAAATAACCAAGCTAGTATTAAAAGATTTATATACCTTATCACAGTATTATTTTCTGTAAGAGTGAAAAACAGGAAACCACCTAAATGGATGGAAATAGAACAGTTGTTTAAATTATAGTATAGCGCATCATTGGGGAGCCAACAGGTGGCATAGGGGTTAAGGTGGACTCCCACGTGACTGACCACAGTTTTGAGTCACAGACCTGGTGACCTGAAAATCATACTGGGTATGTGTGTGTGTGGCCAAAATTCCTGGAGGAGAATGGAGGAGAAGGGATTGTTGTGTGGCCATTCTCCCTGGGGAGGTGATTTCTCACCTTTTCCCTCACTGTCTCTCTCCTGTCCAGTGAGTACACACACTCTCTGGCAAAAATCTTAAAACCAGGCATGAAAAATCTACTCCCATCAGGCTAACATCACACCTCTCATTGGAAACAATGCAAGCAAGGAAAGAATGGGAAAATATATTCAAAGTGTTAAGTGAAAAATAATTTGAACCTAAAATGCTGTATCTGGCAAGATTATCCTTCATGTGGAAAGAAAAGATAAAAACATTCTCAGGTAGGGACCAGCAGTTAGCGTAATGGCTATGTCGCTGGACTCCCATGTAGTTGATTTCTTGCTTTCTGTCTCTCTGTCTCTCTCTGTCTGTTTGACAAGCGCACGCACCCTATGGCAAAAACCTCTCAAAAAAAAAAAAAATTCTCAGATAAACAAAGCCTGAAAGAATTTACCAACACCAGACCAGCTCTTTGAAAAGTTCTGAAGGGAGTACTATACCAAAAAAACTAAAGACAGACAAATAAGAGAACAAAAAATGACCAAGAGAAAGATCAACTTAATGGTAGGGACAAGTTCTGAAATATCAATAACGCTGAATGTTAATGAAAAGGTCAGACCACAGTAACACTGCAAATTCAACAAAAGAGATTACATGAGATTGAACGGCTGAAGTAGAATTCTATGACTTTTTTTTTCTAAAACTTACTGAATTTCTTCTATACTTTGTCTTCCAGATTTAAGGATTTTTGTTTTCTTTTGAATTGTTGGGTTCAGCAATTTGTTGAAGAATTTTTGACCCTTTTGCAATTGGAAAATATTTGTGAGCATTCTTATTTTGTGGCAGAATGGTTATTTGCATGAGTTCAATAATACAATAGTATCTGTTGCTTTGCATCAGAAATTGAATTCTTATGGGGCTTTGTGCAAAAGATGGACCAAATTGATATTAACGTGATTATTTATTTTTAATATTTCTGCAAATAAGTTAGTTAGACTTCTCTTTAGTAAAAGAGGGAATGAAGAGGGACCAGCGGTTAGCATAATGGCTATGTCACTGGACTCCCTCGTAGTTGACAGCGGTTCGTGTCCCGGACCTGGTGGCTTAAACTCACGCCAGGCACGTGTGCGTGCTTGCCAGAGATCCAAACAGGAGAATGGAGGAGAAGGGATTGTGGCATGGCCATCCCCCCTGGGGGGGTGATTTCTTGCTTTCTGTCTCTCTGTCTCTTTCTCTCTCTGTCTGGCGAGCACACGTGCCCTATAGCAAAAATCCTCTCCCCCCCAAAAAAAAGGGGGGGATGAAGAGAGAGGAATAAAATTGTTTCAGAAGAAAATTACAGTGCACTCGTCCCTAGATTCTAGCTTTGTCCATACTTTAAGATCTTTTGTGAATCAATAAAATGTGAAAAATGAAGTTTGGTATGGAAGAGAGAAGGGGAAGGAAAAATACAGGTAAAAGTATGCTTAACTGACAAAAAATGAGAAGCTATTTGCTGATGATAATGTATATAGTGATAAAACGTAAATTTAAATAAATAATGTTAAAAAAAGAAAAGAAAAATCTAATCAAAAGCACCCTTGGTCCTCAGACTATGATCTTCTAATACTATGTTCCTCTAAAAGCTACCAGCCATTTCTCTAGAAAACAAACAATATATACTATAAACTTAGAATATTTTTCATACTAACACAAGGAAACTGTGTGACCAGCAGATGGCATAATGGTTACGTCACTGGACTCCCAAGTAGTCTACCACGGTTTGAGTTACGGATCTGGTGGCTTCAAATTCATGCCAAGTGTGTGCATGTGTGCCCAAAATCCCCAGAGGAGAATGAAGGAGAAGGAATTGCAGCATGGCAAGACCTCCTGGGGAGCGTGATTTCTTGCTTTCTGTCTTTCTGTCTGTCTGCTGACAACAAGCACCCTGTAGCAAAAACCTCTCTCTAAAAATAAATAAACAAAATAAACTATGAAACTGGAACATGACAGAATTGTGCAAAATGACTCAAAAGATAATTTGCAAAGGCTCCTCCACCTTTCAATATAGGACAATTTGCGCTTGATTAAGAATAATAACAATAATTAATGTATCAAAACACATCAAATATGTTAAAATTCATGAGTTTAAAATAAAATACAACTCAGGGCCAGCAGATAGTGTAGTGATTACGTCGCTGGACTCTCACATGAGTGGGAACACACGACCCCAGTTCAAGTCCCAGACCCAGTGTCTTCAAAATGATGATGTTCATGTGTGAGTGCATGCCCAAGATCCCGGGAAGAGTACAGAGGAGGAGGGATTGCAGCATGGCCATCTTCTCTGGGGGTGATTTCTCACTCACCCTCTCACTGTCTCTGTCTCTCTCTCTCTGGCAAGCATATGCACCCTAAGGCAAAAACCTCTAAAAAAATAAAGTAAAATACAACTCATTTTAAACCTTTGGAGAATAGTGGGTACTCATCTCATTATTTTGAAAACTGCCATAGATAGAAAAAAATCAAGTATTTATTCTGAGCTTTTTATTCAACTGTACCACAAGGTATACCAAGTGTTTTATAAAAAAAAGTTATAGATCATTTAAGCTAATAAATGAAAGAACACTACAATTAAATATCAGCATTTGTATCCCCTTTGAAATAATGAATTGAAGCCATGATCACTAGCAACGTAAAAAGAGATTATGTTACAAGGGTAGGACACACCTCCTCCTGTGCATAGACTTGTACAAAAAGAACCTGAATCTGATTATACCTCTAGATCAAACTACCACTTTATAAAAAAGACAGAAAAGAGAAAAAACATAGTAACTCCTGCTACAAAAGGTTAAATTTGGATCATCTAAATTGTGGGAAATGATCCAATTCCTTCAACAAATAAATTTTTTAAAAGACAGAGAAAATCTATAGCTTAAAAGTGACTTGGGGACCAGCAAATGGCATAATGGTTTCATTGCTGGACTCCCATATTGTCGACAGCAGTTAGAGTACCAGATCTGGTGACTTTAAACTCATGGAACCTTTTTTGTATAATGAAATTTCATAACTAAAAAACTACGAAACTTGACTAATCTGGTTAGTTGGTGTGAGGTTTAATGACATTGTGATTATTTTTCATTAATCATATATTTTAGAAATAATTATTGAAGGGCCCAGCAGGTGGCGTAGTGGTTAAGGCACTGAACTCCCACGTGATCGACCGTGGCTCAAGTTCAGATCCAGTGGCTTGAAACGCATGGTGGGCGCATGTGCGTGAGTGCCCAAAATCCTAAGAGGAGAATAGAGAAGAAGAGATAGTGCCATGGCAATCATCCCTGGGGGAGGGGTTGATTTCTCACTTCCTGTCTGTCTCTCCAGAGAGCACATATGCCCTATAGCAAAAAAACTAAACTCTGAAAAATAAAAATAAAATAAGAAAGAAATACCTACTGAAATATTTACAAATCAAATTACCTGATGTCTCAAATTTGCTTCAAAATAATAGAAGGGGTTGACTGGGAATGTATAAGAGGAAACAAAATTGACTATGAACTGATAACTGATAAAAGTTAGGACACCGGTATACAGGGAAGGTCTTCATTTTTCTGATCAATTATTTAATATGTTTGAAAATTTCCAAATAAGATGTTAAAACAGGAGCCAGCAGATGGCGTAGAGGTTAAAGGGCTGGACTCTGGCGAGCACAGGTACCCGACAGCAAAAAAACTCACAGAAGAAAAAAAGAGAAAAAGTTAAAATAAACCATAAGCATGTCAATATTAATTGACATAGAAAAATAACTTTGTTAATTAGTTAAGCTAAAAAAGCAGATTTGTAGCAGAGAATTTCTGTTCTTACTTTTTACAAATATGCACTTTTGAAAATAATTATTTTATTTATTATTATTACTTTTTGTTTTTAAGTTTAAATTTTTAATTTTACATGGTTTAATTTGAAATTTTATCAAACTGAATCTGAAAAAAAATTGTTTAGTAATTTTTTTTTTAGGGTTTTTTTGCTATGGGGCGCATGTGCTCTCCAGACCGAGAGAGAGAAAGACAGAGAGATAGAAAGTGAGAAATCATCCCCCGGGGGGATGGCTACACCGCAATCCCTTCTCCTCCAGTCTCCTCTTGGGATCTTGGGCACGCACGCACACACGCCCAGTGTGAGTTTAAGCCACCGGGTCCAGGACGCGAACCGCAGTCAACTACGTGGGAGTCCAGCGACATAGCCATTATGCTAACTGCTGTTCCCCCAATTGTTTAGTAATTTAATTCTTTATCCTCATTTTACACATGATAACACTTAATCCAGAGAAAGGTACAAGGGAAAAAAAATCATCTTTCTCATATTTAATATAGGGACCAGCAGGTGGCATAATGGTTATGTCACTGGTCTCCCATATGGCCGACCATGGCTTGAGTCCTGGACCCACAGGCTTGGAATTTATACTTTCTGTGTCTCTCTGGTCAAATTTAAACAAACAAACAAATAAACAAATAAAGTTAAAAGACTGCGTTGTGGCCATCCTCCCCTGGGGGTTGATTTCTCTCTTTCTGTCTTCTGGTGAGCACATATGCCCTCTAACAAAAATCTCTCTCTAAAAAAAAAGATATTTAATACATACAAATAAAGTCATTATTGAAAACAGAAAAAATGTACTATAATTGATAAAAATAATACTAAATCAAAATAATATTGTTTTTACATTTAGCCAGAGAGAGTGAGAGAAAATCAGAAAGGAAGTCACCTGGTCTAAGACTTGAACCACAGTCTGCCATGGGGAAGTCCAGTGCCTAGCCATCATGCCACCTCCTGGTCCAAAAAATATGCACGTTTTATATTATGCATATATTGAGTTATAGGAAAAGTGATGCACTTTTGCATAAAAAAAACATAGAAAAAATACATCATATACCAAAATACTAAGTTATCTTTATTTTTTATGTCTTCTCTGCCATCTGGAATTTTTACAAAAAACACATATTATTCTTACACATAGACTGACTGACACACGTTCACTTCCCATAGAAGAACACACAGCTGGACCACAGAATCAGTAAACAAGAAAGCATGAAACAGGGAGTAGTACAAGATGAAGGAAGAGCACTAGCAAGGGCCATATGAGAACGTGCCCTGTTTTGCTGCATGTAAACCATAGTTCACAGCAGCCAAGATAGGAACTCCACCTAAGTGTCCATCAGTAATGGAATGAATAAAGAAAGTGTGGTTTATTACACAGTGGCACACTACTCAGTCATAAAGGAGCATGAGATGTTGTCATTCACAGTGACATGGAAGAGTCTCAAAGATGTTCAGTGAAATAAGCCAGATGCAGAAAAAGAAATACTGCATGTTGTCTCTCCGATGTGGAAGTTGAAAAGGTTGAACCCCTGCAAGTCGAGAGCAGAATAGTGGTTACTAGAACCTGAGAAGGGGGAGGTGCTGAGATTGGGAGTTTGGTGACTGGGTACAAAATCACAGCTAGATAGGAGGAATAAATTCTAGAGTACAACAATGCTGCAGGACAACTCCATGTGTCAACAATTCATTGTATATTTCAAAATAGCTAGAAGAGAGGATTCTGAACACCAAAAAAACAACAAATGTTTGAGGTGATAAACAATAACTGCCCTGATTTGATCATTACACATTGTATATTTGTATCAAAATATCCAGTCTCCCATAAATATGCACAGTTGGCACTTGTCAATTACTATAACAATTATATTTTTAAAATAAAAATTGTATTTTAAGAAATTATGCTTAAAAAGCATGTTTAGAAAAAACAACTTTGACTATCACTCCAAATAAGACTGGAGCCATTGAAGGGTTCTGTACAGAGGAATGACATAATCTCATTTATCGTTTAGAAGAATCACTCTGGCTACTGCGTTGAGAATAGACGGTAAGAGCAGACAGGGGAAGAGTAAGGAAGGTTATCACAGTCATTCAGGAGACAGACAGTGCTGGCGTGGACCCACTCAACTACAGTAGAGGTAACGGGAAGTCAGATATTTGGGGGATATTTTAAAAATGGAGCTGAGATGTTTACTGATGGATCCAGTTTGAGACATGAGACAAAGAGCCCACTCCAACATTATCCCAAGTTTTTGACTTAAGTAACTATAAGGAAGGGATTATTTTTAACAGAGGGTAAGAGAAGCTGTCAGAAGACAGGAGCTGGTGGATTTACCACATCTGTGACATCCAGGTACTGTGTTAAGTTGACAATTTGGACATGTGTTCATTTCTTTTTTGTTTGGAAAGGATTGTCTACTTACATCTTTTCCAATAAGATCTCTCTGGTTCTCAATGACGCCCCAAGGAGGGATTCCGACTGTCCAGATTTTTCTCAAGGACTGTGAGGAATGGGCTTTCAGGGCATCTCCAACGACATATTATTCTTACACATAGACTGACTGACACACGTTCACTTCCCATAGAAGAACACACAGCTGGACCACAGAATCAGTAAACAAGAAAGCATGAAACAGGGAGTAGTACAAGATGAAGGAAGAGCATTAGCAAGGGCCATATGAGAACGTGCCCTGTTTTGCTGCATGTAAACCATAGTTCACAGCAGCCAAGATAGGAACTCCACCTAAGTGTCCATCAGTAATGGAATGAATAAAGAAAGTGTGGTTTATTACACAGTGGCACACTACTCAGTCATAAAGGAGCATGAGATGTTGTCATTCACAGTGACATGGAAGAGTCTCAAAGATGTTCAGTGAAATAAGCCAGATGCAGAAAAAGAAATACTGCATGTTGTCTCTCCGATGTGGAAGTTGAAAAGGTTGAAACCCTGCAAGTCGAGAGCAGAACAGTGGTTACTAGAACCTGAGAAGGGGGAGGTGCTGAGATTGGGAGTTTGGTGACTGGGTACAAAATCACAGCTAGATAGGAGGAATAAATTCTAGAGTACAACAATGCTGCAGGACAACTCCATGTGTCAACAATTCATTGTATATTTCAAAATAGCTAGAAGAGAGGATTCTGAACACCACCAAAACAACAAATGTTTGAGGTGATAAACAATAACTGCCCTGATTTGATCATTACACATTGTATATTTGTATCAAAATATCCAGTCTCCCATAAATATGCACAGTTGGCACTTGTCAATTACTATAACAATTATATTTTTAAAATAAAAATTGTATTTTAAGAAATTATGCTTAAAAAGCATGTTTAGAAAAAACAACTTTGACTATCACTCCAAATAAGACTGGAGCCATTGAAGGGTTCTGTACAGAGGAATGACATAATCTCATTTATCGTTTAGAAGAATCACTCTGGCTACTGCGTTGAGAATAGACGGTAAGAGCAGACAGGGGAAGAGTAAGGAAGGTTATCACAGTCATTCAGGAGACAGACAGTGCTGGCGTGGACCCACTCAACTACAGTAGAGGTAACGGGAAGTCAGATATTTGGGGGATATTTTAAAAATGGAGCTGAGATGTTTACTGATGGATCCAGTTTGAGACATGAGACAAAGAGCCCACTCCAACATTATCCCAAGTTTTTGACTTAAGTAACTATAAGGAAGGGATTATTTTTAACAGAGGGTAAGAGAAGCTGTCAGAAGACAGGAGCTGGTGGATTTACCACATCTGTGACATCCAGGTACTGTGTTAAGTTGACAATTTGGACATGTGTTCATTTCTTTTTTGTTTGGAAAGGATTGTCTACTTACATCTTTTCCAATAAGATCTCTCTGGTTCTCAATGACGCCCCAAGGAGGGATTCCGACTGCCCAGATTTTTCTCAAGGACTGTGAGGAATGGGCTTTCAGGGCATCTCCAACGTGCTTGGACACTCCTGTGAACAACCAGTTGAGAAGCTGAACTTTAACTTACAAATCACCCAAAACACAAGGTTGCCAGAGAGAGACAAATACACAAGGACACAAAAGGCCAATCTTAGGGAAAGCTGTCAGCACAGAGCAATGAGTTTCCGACATTTTGGCTGCCTCTGTGCTCTCTCGACCCCTCTTTTCCTCTCCTGCTATCTCTCTCCTACAGTTGTAGAGGAAACGCTTGAACAATTCTTTCTTCCTTTGGGCAATTTCTGCCTGTGACTTCAGTTCTACACTACTCTGGCTTGATCTGAATGCCCTGTGCATTGTTCTTCCTCAGCGAACCCAACTCCGACATCATGAATGTTTTAAGGATTGCTTTCTCTAATCTCCCATGTCCCACCAAGACATTCTGCAGATGTGTCCCTTGCTTCACTAAGGAAACTATTTGTTAATGGTATATGCACACGAGAGAGAAGGGGAGAGAGGAAGGAAGCACTATCCATGGGGCCTGTTCATACCACAGTCCTTTTTTTTTCTAATTGTCCATCTCATCAGGATGCTGGGCACCTGCACAGGCCCAGGGTTTTTCAAACCAGCAGGGCCAGGATTCGAATTCTGGTCATTCATGTAAGCACTAGCTTCCTGAGCACAGCACTTAACCCCTGCACTATAGGGCAGGCCTAAAGGCAAACTAATTCAATACTTGTACACACACAAGGCTCCCAGATCTAATACATGAAGGAGTACTACATTGATGTTTGCCCTCTCCAGATTAATAATAGTAATAATTATAGTAGCCAATACTTACTGGTGAACAGTAAGATTCCAGTAAGTATTGGCTAACTCTTTACATATATTTGCATTGTAAGTACAAACATTTTATAAAGTTTATTTATAATAAAAAGCACATGCACATGAGAGGGAGGGAGAGAGAGATCCTTGACAGGGTTTGCTCATATAATTCCCTTTTCTAGGCCCTCCAGCTCATCAGGGTCTTGGGCACACATGTGTACACCCAGGGTATTTTTACTGCACTTCCAAGCTGGGCTTACGTAGGAACTTTTTTAGTCCATTCTATAGACAAAAGTTGGAGCACAGAAAGGTTAAATAACTGCACAAGGTTATAGGGGCGGCAATTTGTAATCTGGTTTCCAATCAATGTCATCTAATTTTTCTTTTAGCAGACTTAAGGGCCAGCCCCAGGGCCTATTGCTTAAAGTAATTGGATCCCACATGGCTGATTGCATTTTGAGTCCCAGTCCCAGAAGCTTGGAAAATACCCAGGCATGTGTGTAAATACCAAGGCATGGATGTGCGTGCACGAGTGTGTGCCCAAAGTCCCAACAGACTGGAGAAATGGAGGGGAAGGGATTGTGGTGTGACCATTGGTGAGTGATTTCTCTTTCTCCCTGTCCCTCTGCTGCTCTCTGTCTCTCCATTTCTCTTTCTGGCAAGTGCACATGCTCCTTAGCAATTATTTAAAAATAGACTTCAATGCTTAAAGTAGTTTAGGTTCACGATGAAATTGAACAGAAAGTACAGAGAATCTCCATGGACTCCCTGCCAACTGATAAACAGCCTCCCTCACCATCCACATCCCCCACTAGAGTGGTACGCTCTTGCTGAGCCGCACGGACACACCCATTCTCACCAGGGGCTGCCGTTTACATCAGGGTTCTCTCTGTGTTGTATGTTCTATGAGTTTTGACATATGTAAAATGATGCGTATGCACCACTGCAGGATCATACAGAGGAGTTTTACTGCCCTGAAAGTCCTCTGTGTCCTACTGCTCATCCCTCTCTCCCCCAAGCTCCTGGTAAACACCAATCTTTCTACCATCTCCATACTTTAGCCTTTTCAAAAATGTCCTAGAGTTTACGGGACCAGCAGTTGGTATGATGTCTATGTCGCTGGACTCACATGTAGTTGACTGCAGTTTGAGTCCCGGACCCAGTGGCTTAAACTCATGCCAGGCATGTGTGCATCCATGCCCAAAATCCCGAGAGGAAAATGGAGGAGAAGGGATTGCAGCGTGGCCAGTGATTTCTCAATTTCTGTCACTCTGTCTCTGTCTTTCTGGTGAGCACATGTGTTCTATAGCAAAAACTTGTTTAAAAAATGTCCTATAGTTGGGCTCATGAAGTAAGCAGCCTTTTCAGATTGGCTTAATCTGCCTTAATCACAACACTGCATTATAGGACATTCCTCTACGTAAGTATTGACTATAGTACGTGTCATTAGCCCAGAAACGAACAAACTAACAAAACCTGCCTATTGTATGTGTCTGATATGTAGAACTTGGGTCATTTCATTGTCTCTGGCATTTCCTCTCCACCCACTCTAGAGTCATCTCTAGACCCATGCTTTGCTGGCCTAGCTACTTCTGTTCTAAGCTCTCCACAGGGGATCCTAACACTCCTTCTGTGGAGACTGGCTGTAAGCCCCAACCTCACCATGTCATTCCCCTGCTCATTCACCTGTTAACACCTTGGAGAGCTCCTGGTCACAGAGAGCGTAAACCACGGCCTGTCAGCAGAGCACTCAACAGGGTTTCCAGTCTCTGGCTGTCCCTGGTCCCTGCTGCATGGTGCACACTCCAGTCAGTGGCTTTATCACCTGTTCCTGCCCATGCCTTAATCTCCAGCTACATGGTCACCCCTTGCCTAGATGTCTCTTCTCACTTGTTCTCAGAAAAAAGTCAGGTGCTCCATCCTTCTCCAAGCCTCCTAAGGTGTCCTGCATGAATCTGGAATTCTCCCTCTTGCTTGTGCTCTGAAATGCTTTCTTTGTATCTCAACTGTAACCCATCAGTATCCATTTCTAGTTAGTTGCTTCTTGTCTGTCTGTCATGGCCTGCCCCTTCACTAAACTCAGGGCCCATAGTACTCATCTTTCAGCTACAACACCTAACCAAGTACTTATACACAGTAGATCACTTTTATTTCAATTTAAGTAAATATCAAAGACTCGTGCTAAATTTGTTCAACTATAGTTGAAAAGTATTTCTAGACAGAAGTTCATAAGCAGAACTTCTCAAATGTATTTACTTTTTAAGAATTATTTATTTTCCTTTATTAACTATTACTATTTTAATTTGCTATAGGTCACGTGAACTCACCAAAGCTCCAAAAAAAAACAAAGAGAGAAAGCAAGTCCAGGTCCAGGATTTGATCCACAGTAACCATGTGGGAGTCCAGAGCCCCAACCACCATGCCACCTGCTGGCCCCACTTCTCAAATGTAAACATCCATAAGAATTATCTAGAGGTGTTGTTAAAATGCAAATTCTGAATCTGCAGGCCTGAGGTGAGACCTGAGGTCTGCATTTCCAACAAGCTCTCAGATGACGCTGGTGCAGCTGGTGCAGGGATCACTCCTTGAAGAGCCAGGCCCTGGAGGAGTGAGGCTGACTCAGGTCAGGCTGGTGGCCATTTAGGGAGCGGCAAGTATTTCTCATTTCCAATTTTTTGTGTTTCTATGAACTATCTCAATCATCTTCACACTCTTACATTTGTTTCTCTAGGTTAGTTGGCCCTAATCTATAAAGTTAAAAAACAAGCAGCAAAATAAAGCATTTAATAGTTAGTTATTCAGAGAAAAAAGCCTTATCCAGGTCTACCTTACTCTGAGCTCTGTGACCTTCCCCACTCCACGCCCTGTGTAACTGGAAATGAAGAAAGTACCATACAATGGACGTAGAACTCTGCCAACTTCACTTTATCCCAACAATGTGAAACAGTAATTATCTCTATAAAATGTACAAAAGGAACTGCCAGGTCACCTACAAGTGACATGTCAAGTCCCTTGGTTTTATTTTACTTTATTCTTTCTTTCTTTTTTTTTTAAAACTTGCCAGAGGGACAGGAGAGACAGGAGGG